ATAACGTACTTCCTGAATAAGTCTTAACACATTTCTACTGGGGATTCAGCCCACCCCATTAAGGAGCAGGGCTGAACGTAGGAGTCAGGGTTGGACGAGAAGGGACTAGCCAGAAGGATGTAAAATTTGAGCCTCGTATCGTGCAACTTAGTCCTTCCGGGCGAAAGCAACCGACTTATGCGGGAATATACAGTATGGCGAGTGCTGCATGAAACATTACGCAATTTGAACAAGACCAGTAATCACTCGCCAGACAACATTGAGTAGGGTTGCAATACTGTTTATCATGCAGATAAATTTCAATTATTTTCAGTCACGCTAGGATGCCGCCTCTGTGATGAGCTTCTTTTTGACAGCTGCAAAAGAGTTGATTCCGCAAAAATAGGCTACTTAAATAGTACGCATTTTTATCCTTGATTTTCACTGCCTTTATAAATTCAAATATATTTTATGGAAAGCATGCATGAAAAAATCCTTTCTTGTACATATTTGATAGAAAATTACGCCTTCTTTAAATTTTATTCTTAAAGAAAGGGCTTCCTTCGGTTTTAAAAAAAGTTTATAAATTGCCGAATGATTTTGAAAGCTAACGACTGCTAGAATTGAATTCAAGTTTTACAAATTGAATGCTCTGTTCATCCTGTTTAAGGGAATGTACGTTCTTTCCTGCGGTTTGAGGAAGTGGGTGCATAGCTCTCATAGAATTTTGCAATAGACATAGATCATCCTGTATATATCAGTGGCAGCAGTAATAAATTGACGGATACGATGTATTATGAATGAACACCACAGTCGTAAAACACTCAAAATTAGAAATTTTTTTTTAAAACCGAAGGACACCCTTTCTTTAAAAATAAAATGTAAAGAAGGCGTAATTTGCTATCAAATATGTACAAGAAAGGATTTTTTCATGCATGCTTTCCATAAACTTTATTCGAATTTAAAAAGGCACTCAAAATCAACGATAAAAATGCGTACTATTTAAGTAGCCATTTTTACATAATAAACTTCTTCGCAGTGGTCAGAAAGAAACCCATCACAGAGTCAGCGTCCCAGTGTGACTGAAAATAGTTGAAATTGGACTGCATGATAAACAGTATTGCCACCCTACTCAATGTTGGTTTGCGAGTGATTACCAGTCTTTTTCAAATTGCGGAATTTTGCTTGCAGCACTCGCCATACTGTACATGTTCCAGCTTGTCAACGTTATCAGAGTGGAGCTGGCAGTACTCGCCAATCATCTTCCTCACGGCAAC